GGTCGACGCCCTTCAATATGGATGGGAAGCATCTACACCATGCGGCATCATCCAACCCTTGAAGATACATAACGTTGGTGTATGCCATCAGGTGGTCTTCTAGGTTGGTGGTACCGTCATAGGCACCTACCAGAACATTTTTCACCTTGGCCGGCTGGGCAGCCTCTGTTATTTGCTTGGAAAAAGCAGAGGGTTATTCCCCCAGTCTTAGTAGTCGGAGATGTCAGTCCAAAGGCTGGACATTATGTGCCGCCTGCCCCCAAAAGAAGGTCGGCTGCATGTAATGTTGTCCATATGGCATATATGGTTGTTGAGGCACATACGGGGCCGCATGGAGCATCTGAGGACTAGAGTGGGCGGACATGCCGCCTGTCTGGTTCTCTTGATTTGATTGTGAATACCCCATTGAGGTATTCTGAAAGCTGTCTTGCAAGTTCGACGTTGAAGCCGACTCTGATAGTTACATGTTCTTCTTTTGCTGGATTAACATCCGGGCATCAGAATAAGTTTTCTTTGAACCATCCAGCTGTACATGTTCTTCAAGTTCGACGTTGAAGCTGACTCTGACGGATGGCCTTTCTCTTTCCTGGCTCAGGGAACCTAAGTCTGGCCAAATTTATTAAGGGCTTCTGTCCCTCCCTTGTTTAAGGGTAAGGAGAGGCCTCTCGGTCTTTGACCGGCTTATTCGTCCCAAAATGAGAGGGCTTTTTAGCCGACTAATCCTTGGTAGGGACAGTCGTCCGTTTATCGATCAGGTCCTTAATCTCCCCTTTGAAACTTGTCTTGAGGGTCATGAGCTCGTTTCTATTGATGGGGACGGAGCCTTCGGCCGCCTGAGGTTGACCGACCAGCTGGCCGGCTGGTTCACTAGGGCTCGCCTGTTCGACAGTCCGTTCCTTCCTTTCGAGGGGACGGATGTGCCGAGTTCTTAGGGACCCGTCAGCGGCAGTGTGTGTGTCGACCTCACAGTCGTCATCTGTATCCTGGTATGTATATACCTGGACATCGGCCATAGGCCGTTTCTCATTAAGAGGCAGTACAGGTTCTTGTGAAGTCATCTTAGAAGTACTCTCCCCACAAACAGCGCCAAATATTTCGGGGTTTTTTGGATGTCCTGCGGGAGAGTTACAACACCAAGAATGACCTCTGGACGCCTGTACCTGCAAAACAACGGAGACTCCTGTGGGTGGGAGTTCCGCCTCCGACGATCAAGTTAGAACGTATTCAGAAGTAAATATGTGGAAAGTAAAGGGGATCAGGATCCACTCGGAAGGGGAGTGATCATCCGACTGTCTGAGACAGTATCGAAATCCGAGCCTTAGCTCTCAAGTAGCGCAATTAAAGCAGGAGTTAATGCTCAGCAAGTAATGTACGCGTGTGTTTAATGATTTCTGAATGATGTTCCTCTGAGGGAACATCTCCCTTTTATAGAGTCTTGAAATGTGTGCCCAGTACTAGGTTTCTATAATCTAGGACTGAATGGGCTTGCCTAGGTATTTGGGCCAATAGAGGCCACTTTCCTAGTTGGCAATCTGTCTGCCATGTGTCGTGGCCTGACTGGTCCACCTTGGACCTCTTACGATGTGACACATGGCGGGCTCTGGTTGGTCCACGTGGATGACACGTGGCAGCATTTAATTGGTCCACGTGGCGGGAGAAATCCCCTCATCAATAATAATAATAATAATAATAATAATAATAATAATAATAATAATGCGGTAATAATAATAATAATAATAATAATAATAATAATAATAATAATAATAATAATAATAATAATAATAATAATAATAATAAAATTCACTCAGCTCTGCTGCAATCTTCTCTGCTAAATCCTGCTCTGTTCTGCGCAAAAGCTCAAAAGAACAGGGCGTTAAACCACTTACCATCTTCAAAAGAAATCCCAAATATATCACCCCACCCTCAACGAAAAACAAATTTTGGCAATTGTTATTATGTGCACCATGGTGCACCACGTTTATACTTTTGAACATTTAGTTAAAAAATATGAACACGTCACAAAAACTAAAAATAAATATGCAATTTTATATGTTCATATATTATAAATGAATGTTTATTTTATATGCATTAAATGTTCAGTTTATATAACAAAATTATTGAATTTTTACGAGTTAAACAAACTTCTTTCAAAAAATTGATGTTTATGATATAGTGTTATATTTAATATACTACATGTTCAAAATTTACGATTGTTAAGATTTTTTTACTAAATGTTCAAAATATGCGATTCTTTAGATTTTTTACGAAATGTTCAAAAGTGTAGGTGTGGTGCATAGCGATTGTTCTTTTTTTTAACTAAATGTTTAAAATTTGCGATGTTCAAATTTTTTTACTAAATGCTCATGCAATGTTCGGATTTTTTACTAAATGTTCAAAATTTGCGATGTTAGAATTTTACTAATATTCAAAATTTGCGATTGTTCATATTTTATTACTAAATGTTTAAAATCTACGATATTACTAAATGTTCAAAATTTGCAATTGTTCAAATTTTTTTTACTAAATATTCAAAATTATAGGCGTGGTGCACCTAATAATAGGTGCACCATGGTGCACATTAAAATTTGCGCTCAAAACCCACCATTGAAAGAAACTAAATCTGGATTTTGCAATCTTATTGTTAAAAAAAACCTAGCCAAGATCACCTTCTTCTTCACCTTCTTGAAATAGGTTTGGATTCTTTCTTCGAACAACAACATTTGGAGTTTTGGATTCTTTCTTTGAACCACAAGATCTTAAGCAAGCATAATCATTTTCTGATTGAACAAAATCTCCGTTTTCTTACAAAAATTCCCCTAATCAAAGTGAATATTGATAATCGCTGCGATAAATCTGGTGAAAAGATGGAGATAAAGAGAGAGACGATGAAGAGAGAGAAAGTAGAGATTGCTGATCGAAAGAGAGAGAAGGATTAAGATGGTGAAGTTGAAGAATTAAGGTTTTTTTTAGAATAATCTTATAAGAAGATGAACATTTGATGAATAGGTTAGGGAAAAATTGCCTACAATAATCCGATCTTTCCCTCATCCGCCAAAAATAATCCCACCTTTTGATTATTTTTTAATAATCCGACCTTTATACTCAATCCGCTCACAATGGTAACCAGTCATGTAACTTGTTATAACAAGTTACCTAACACATGGCAGTTCGTGATCGGTCCAAAAAGTAAAAATTAAATTAAATTAAATTTAAAAAAAAAGGATAATTTTTATAAAGAAAAATTGAAAAAAAAATTAATTATTCAAAAACCACCCCATCGGTTGCCCAAGCCACCATCCAGCTGCCTAACTCCATGGCCGCCCACTCCCACTAGCCCGACCCCTGCGCCGATCGGCATATCCCCTCCTCTTGAACCGATGAGTCCCCTCCCCTTGAACCATCAATTTGATTCGAAAAAACCCTTCCCCGTCCCGATCCCGACCTCCCTCCCCTTTCCCCTTGCCTCGATTTCGGCCCCCTTCCCCTTCCCACACCTTGATTTAGGTGATGGTTGTGATGGCTTAGTGGCGACAGAAGGGGGTTTAATGGTTTAGTGGCAACAGAATAGGGTTTAATGGTTTAGTGGCAACGGAAGGGGGTTTAATGGTTGTGATGGTAATGATTAAGTATAAAGGTCGGATTATTAAAAAATAATCAAAAGGTGGGATTATTTTGGCCGGATAAGGCAAATGTCAGATTATTCCTCACAATTTTTCCTAGGTTAGGTTCTATTCAATGAGTTAATTGCAAGAATGAATTAAATCACATTGAAAAGATAATCTAATAAGAGCAAGCCCCAGTTTATAAATAAGTTGCATTGAAAATTGTGTTTTTTGATTTAAATTTTTTTTTTTACTGTTTGTGGGCCACTATGACAAGTTGGACAGATTTTCAAAGTTAACACTGTTAACACTCTGTTTGCTACTATTCATCATCTTCTTCCTCCCACCTTCTTCTTCATGTTCATCTTCTTCCTCTTGTTCATATTTTTTTCTTCCCAACCACCTTAATCTTCTCCCTCCAATCTCTGCCCATTTTCACCTTCTCTTTCAAGTCCGTTCAACTCCATTTCCACATTAAACGAAAACCCTAATAACAAAAGGAGAAATTAATGGCGTGGTTAACCCTACACACCACCATTTCCGGCGGCAAAAGCCGTCGAAATTAAACGAAAACCCAAATGACAAAGTGAGAATAACGGCCATGGTTAACCCCTTAAAGGGTAGATAAGCTTTTCTCCCTCCATTGATTTCAACTTGTTCGACGTCATATATTGAAAAGATGTACTTTCCACCATTGAAATTAAAGGTTGAAGAACGAGAGAGAAAACAACAAAATGTTGAAGGAAGAGAGAGAAAATCAAAAAATACCAAAAGGTTGAAAGAGGAGAGAGAAAACAATAGTTAACCAAAGTTAGGTGTAATTTACATATGCACCCCTTGATACAAGGTTATAAACTTGTATTTTCTCAATTAATAAGATCATAATTATTCTATTAATTAATTTTGTTTTAATTATTTAATTAAGGTTATGAAATTCTAATTGAGGGTATCTTAATTTCACTATAAAAAATTTCCTAAAAAATGAAAAGACTTGAAAATATTACACATAATGTCAATCTTTCATTTTTGGTTAAAGTTGCACATAATAGCCAAACAAAAAAAAAGAATAATACGAAATACTCCCTCTGTTCTTACGTAATTGACACATTTGACTTTTTTCACAATTCATATACAAATTTGATGATCATTCTTGAGTAACTTATAAAGATTAATTTTATCATGATAGATATTATTAAATATGTATTGATAAAAAATTTAAAAATATCAACCCTTTTTTATATTTTTTAAATAATATTTAATTACATATATCTAAAATCAAACTAGTACATTAACATGTATTTTAAATTTGGCTACTCATTTAATAACAAAAGCTTACATTACAAAATATAAAATAAATAGCAAGTACAAAATTATAGCAAATTAAAAACAACTGCACAGTTAGTCACTAACACTAGCCTATTAATATATCATGAAAAGCATACAAGTCAACATGAATTTCAGTCCATCTACGTTCACTATGTCATGGCTACAAGACTTGGGCTGTGCTATCTCTACTAATACAAATTAAAAAATATTTTAAAAAAGAAAAATAAAGCGGCCAAAAGGTCAAAAAAGGTTTACCTGAATTAGAACAAAAGCTTGTTAGTTCTATGAGAAGCCACAAAATAAAGGGCCCTTACAAGATACAAGTACACAAAATTGGCTTAAGCGGCGGACAGACTGGTCACTGCTTACGTTGCTCTAAAATGGAGAGGAATAGAAGGCCTAAAAAGGAAAACCATTTACAAAAAGTCCAGACAAATGTATATACAAAACGAGCACCTCTTTTAATCTTCCAAGGTCTGGATTTCACCCATCATGATGCGGTTGCTCACAACATTGAACCCCAACACAGCGGGGCTCACCTTCTTTCCTTTCTTTCCCTTCTTTTTCCCTCCTTTAGTTGACCCATCAGCACTCACTACACCGTCTCTATTTAAGTCTCTTGCACGTGAATAGTCGGAATTCATGTCTCTGGCACCATTGTTATAGGCCTTCAGATCATTCCGACTTTGAAAGGCAAGCTCCAGCACATCCACTGACAGCATCTCCATGTAATTCAAAAACTTCTCAATAAATTCATGATTTGGATCAAAAGATCCAAGATTTTCTACAAGAAGTGTCTCGGCCTCAGATCTGGACTGCTTCAAGCAAAATTCTAGGAAACTTGTGTCTGAAAAGAGTGAAATATTTTAGTGTAAGCAAAAAGGACATTCCAAATTGCACGGATGTATCACTGATATGATCAAAATGTAAATCCACTGCTAGAAAAATCAACCATAATTGAATGAACCTAATATTAACATAGGTCATCCCAAAACAAACAGAAAAAATATAAAGGACATGCAGTAAATGCAGCATTTCATACCCTTGCTTCCAGTAAGCCGAACTGATTCAGTCTCACACCAATTTCTGAAGTCCATTGCCTCTATACACCGGTATATAGAAAAGGTAAGGGCATGCTAATACGATAGAAAAGGAGTTTAATTGAATCTCAGTTTAGAAAGGTTAATACTCACCCAAGTGCTTAGTACTTCCATCTCGTTTCCCTTTCCCAGAAACCTGAGAAGAGACAGGTGAAGATGAAATACTGTGCTCCACAGCCCTGCTAACAGTGGACTTTTGTCGGCTGATAGAAGCTGCAGGAGTTCCTTTAACAGGAGTGCTTTTGGCTACCAAACTCCCTTGGTTGCCAAGTTGAGGAAAGACTGACCTACTCACAGAACATCATTGAGGAGAACAAGTTAAAATCTTTTTAGCAGCTGATCCGTTTTCAAAAATATCAATCAGCAGGTGCTTTGTTGTCTCAGAAAAGTATGAATCAGAAAACATCATGCTGAAGGTCTAACACATAAAAAATCAAACATTATATTATTATAAAAGATTTAACAAATAAAGCTACCACGCCTACCAGAATACAATGTGATCTATAGGAGGAAGTTCAAACTCTTTTAGAGGCCTTTGATTTTTTTTATTTTCTCATTTGGTTAAACACAACATGCTGACCAGTTCAAAATTTGAAGTGCAACGATAATAATCAATACATTACAGAATAACAGCCCTTTTGTACTCATTCACCGACTTCTATATCTAGGGAAAATAAGAAAGTTTAATATATATCCTAGATAGCAAATTAGGGAGTCACAATGGTCACTCCCAAATTCTCAAGGGAACTTACACAAGATATTCCAGTGTTTATGCAATATTTGCAGCATGCCTGTAATTATTATACTTTTAACTTGTATGTAAAATCTTTCAAAGAGGCAAATGTTAGTCGCATGATTTAACATGCATCCAGCAAAAATCACTAAATTAAAATATCACGCTATTTCTCAAGTAAGCACGAATACTGAATAGAAAACATGGTATAACTTAAAATCCTTGTTAATGTTGTCCCAACACTTACAACAACATGAAAAGTGTAAAAAGAAACTAGCCCCACTTCTGACTCTCACCCAAAAACATACAATGAAATTATGCTCATCGTGATTCATTATACTTACAAGAACATGAAAAGTGTAAAAAGAAACTAGCCCCACTTCTGACTCTCACCCAAAAACATACAATGAAATTATGCTCATCGTGATTCATTATACTGCCTACATTTGAATATCTTGGTCACAAAGCTTAATGTATGCAATATTATCTAACATTAAAATATCAATTGTTAGTTTGAATATTAATGCCATATCTATTTTTCGCTTCAAAACCAATGCATTGCATAAAAATTCCTACAAATGTGTACATTACCCTAAGGTATTTTCATTAGGAATGGAGGGAACACATTTGAACTTGGGTTCACTTAAATTGGGGCAGTCACACACACTAAAAAAAACATACATTGTCTATTTCAAATTAAATTGCTACCCCAATTTGAATTCACCTCAGCCCGAAATCCAAAGTTCCAATGCATGGTTAGAGTCTAGACCATTAATAGCAATCTACCAATGAAAGAAAAAAAAAATAGTAGATGCCACTAAGGATTTTAAAATAGTTCAATATCACTGAGAAGATTTTCATGGGTAACCAGTTAAAGGCAAAACTTCTGTTTCGAGTACCAACAGCTAAAAGTTGGTTAAGGGAAATCATAGACATTTGCTGCAAGCTTGCAAGATTTCCAACGATTTGTTCAATGGAGATCCATTCACTGAATCATTGTCAACTTTACGGAAAATTCAGATATAGAAAAATAGCTGCAGACGTTCCATGCCTTGCTATTTTCTCACTCTCCTATTGCCTCCAGAGCCATATCGAACAACAAATGTCAGGTTCAAACCCATATATCATTTAAGAACTTGACTAATGTCATAGACACAAAATTCTGAGAATGTTTTACTTCAATCAAGGTAACATATCTGTATACAACAAAAGTCAACCACTCCCAGGCCAGAGCCCAAAAAGAAGAAACATGGATACCATACCCTAAGAAATCCACTCTAGATAAGATGGTTTTGAAAGAGTTTTCCACCATCAAATGACCAACTTAGGTTACATCTTCAATGACTATCTTCCTCTATTTTTCTTTTACTATCGAACTTCAATAACTAATTCTATAAAAAAATCACTTATCCTAAAGCTTTCACTTAAATAGCAATCTTCCACCTACTTCCTTCAATGCTTATAGTTTAAGTTACTCCCATTCCCAAATAAATGTCTCATTTCTCTCTAGCACACATGTTAAGAAGGTGAATAAAAAAATAAGAAAGTGGAGCTTGGCTAACTAAAGGTGAACATGACAGTGGGGTTTTCAGTAATTATAAGAGCAAGGCCAGCCACTGGTCATAGTTTTGGTCATGAGGAGAGGGACGATTAAATAACACTTCATTTGTTTTTAATTGCACCATTTAGAGTTTTAAACTTGCCAATGTAAAACTGTCCTTTAAGTTGCTTTTAGTGAAAATTAAAGAAATATGATATTGGGAGAACAAAATAAATATGAATCTAATAAGATACCACATTATTTTTTCTTATGTATTAAACACAAAAAATAGTTAAAGAGAAATGTATGAATAGTGAAAGACCTAACGGTGCAATTAAAAAAACGGAAGAAGTATAAGGAAATAGAAGAGATAAGAAAATAGGAAGAGAGAAGAATGACTTTGGGCATAATGGGATTGGAATATAAGAATGACCAAAATTTTCAGGCAACTATGAGAGTTACTGAATTTTGGTCACTTGTAAGGTAAATGAGATAGAAATAATACTTAATTTGATAAACAAAAAAACTTGGGTCTTCCGTGTTTACTCAAAAAAAAGGGGGGTATAGGTTAAATACGAATTTCAATTGGGGACAGTGGGAGTAAAAAGATTTCTAAAACTTAACAACATGCTACAACTTAAAATTTAAAAGCAAACGAAAAAAAGGAAGCATAGAGAACCAATCGCTTGAGCTAAAGCATACACATCAATCTCATCTAGTGCTCCCACATGCACTTATACAGTTATACACCATTGCATGTCTTCAATCATCAGTAATGAAAATTTATTAACATAATAGTATTACCCAACATGACTTATTAGCTAATGCAAGAGTCAGTTGCATACTTCACAAGTAAACTGTTCAGTTGTGAGTAATAGCAACAAAATATAATCCCATGAAAAGCCACTGTCCATTAATACTGCCAGGAAAAAAAATAGCTGAAAAGGAATGTAAGACAAATGTATGTTGGGAAAGACTTACTGTTTGGCTTCTTGCTTTGATTGATCCGGTGGACCCCAAAACAGATCATCTTCTCCTTTATACTTGGATTGTGTAGAGAGTTGGGAATTGACCTGAACAGGAGATGCAGCTTTTGATGGGGATGAAGCTGAAACTGACCAAGAGCCTGGTCGCGTCTGAGTGGTATTAAGTTTTGGCGGAGTTGATGTTGGTGCGTACTGCTGAGCTGGAGCCCCTTTCTTCCCCTGTTCTTTCAAAATATCCCTCAGTGATGTGGGTTTGGAAAATTTACCAGAATCTGAAGACCATGCAGGAGCTGGAGAAGGGCTAGTTGATTCACCCTTCCATGGAACAAAGTCTCCCAGAGATGGACCAGATGGTGGTACAGGCAATACTTCCTTTACAGCTTGTATATGCTTAGTACTTTTTACTTTCTCAACAGGACTGGATGCAACAGCCACATCCGCAGAAGACACTGATGCTGAAACCTTTCCTCCAGCAACTTTAGCCTTTGCAGCTTTCTTGCGACTCTTCTTGGTATCTTTAGCCTCAATAAAATTATCATCATCAACCACATCTGGCTGACTAGATATTGTTGGTAAAGGAGGGAGACTTATAGAATTGTCAGTCACAGTACTTCTGTTGCTAGACTTTGCTAAAACTTCTGCAGCCAAAAGATCATGTAACCCACTCTTCTTGCTCTTTGGTAACTCAGTTTTACCCATATCACTAATATTACTATCTGGGTGAATTTCTTTACCCACTTTCGGTTCCACATGAGTAACCACTCCACCCCAAGGAGAGGAGAAACTCATAGAACTAACAGAGGCAGAGACGGTAGAAGCAGGGATCTCCATCTGTGCTCTCTTCTGCTCTTCTTGTTGAATTTCTAAAAGTGACTTCGGCTTCACAGAAACAGCTGGTTTCCAAGCCCTCTGAGCAGAATTTACCTGAGCACTTCTCTGTGTAGTAGAATCACTCTGTTTCTGTTCACCTTTGCCCTCCATAGATTCAAAAGCACTGCCAGTATGATTAGGTGAAGTAGAAAGATCAATTTCTGCTGTATTCTCTATTTCCCTAGACATCTCCATAGGCCTTCCATCTAATGCACCTTTGGCAGTGACAGACAAATCCGACTTGTTTGCACTAAGTGCTCCTTCAACTTCAGATTGCTTAGATTTCTGCACATTAGACACTTTAAAAGCCCCCTTCCCCTGGTCAGGAGATGGTTGTGCCTTGGAAGACTTGAGCTTTCTTGATTTCTTATCAGAAGTTTTCTTAACCTCACGTGCTTCAACGTTCTTTACTTCTTTTGAAGCTGATAGCTCTTCATGACTCTCTTTGACAGAGTTTTCCTCGGGCGCACTGGCAGATGTAAGCTTTATCTCATTTCCCTGAGGGACCACAGAGGATCTGCTAGCAGATGATTCAGACAACTCTGAAGGTACAAAATCAGCAGTTGACAAACTCACCCCTGGGTCTGCAGCCAAAGTAGGAAGTGGGGCTGTTTTTGAATCGCTCTCTACCACCTGATCGGAAAAAGACTGTGCACTTAAATCAGAATTGGAATGCTCAATTGCAGCAGCACTCAAAGGTTTCTCCATTGCTTCAGAGGAGGCAATATTTTCCATCATTTCTGATCCTGATGATAAAGAGTGGTTCTTATTGCTATCGGCATGTGTTGACATAGAGGGCCAATTATTCTGAGGCATTCCTAACATCTGATGAGGTAGGTGCAAAGAAGAGCCCTCTGCAGGTACTTGATGACCCAAATCCTGAGAAAGTTTTGGAGGCATATTGGCAATGCTGATAATCCTATCATCTGGCACACCAGAAACAGGAACTTGAGAGTTAGATTGGAACATTGATGGTGAGAGCTGAGCCAAAGATTGGTCACCAGGTGTATTTCCAATAGGTGATGCAGATGTTTGTAATTGTCCAAAAGCTGGATCACCAAAGCGTTGGACAAGCTGCTGCTCAGACAGAACCTGAGAAAGCAACAGTTGTTGCTGTCGCAACAACTGTTGCTGCTCCTCTTGTTTTTGTTGCTGTTTAAGCAGTAGAATCTTATCCAGCAATGACAGCTGTCCTGGGACGGCCTGTTGAGATTGTAATTGCAGCAGATACTGCTGCTGTAACATATTTAATGCTTGAGGGTCCTGCGTAAGACCGGCTGAGAGTAGCTTGTCAGGCACCATGGCAGGGTTGTCCAGAGACTGGGCAAGTAAATTTGTCATGGATGGATGATTTTGTGGCTGCAGCTTATGCTGTTGCATTCCATATGGCACTTGAGGAAAATTCTGTCCGTGATGCAAGTCAATTTTATCTTTAAATGGATCGATGCCACCTTGTACAGAGAAATTTGGCCAACCACCTAATCCATTGTTCACCCCACTAGAAGGCCTATCAGACAATCCTTGAAGAATGGACATCATCTCAACATTCTGAGGAAGAGATTGTTGGGGAATATCACCAATCGTTGAATGGAGATTTGCCTGTGGCACAGAAGAGTTCCTAACAATGTCAGGGCTTGGAACCACAGGGGCTCCATCTCTATTCGGCCAGTACGGATAAGATTGATTCAATGATTTTTGTCGTTCTAGGTTCATTCTTTGGGCCAAGAGGTTGAGGGCATCTGCACTTTCAGCCCCCGAGGGAAGCATACCAGTCGAAGTCTGTCCTGCAAATCCTGGCAGTCCTGCATATCATAGCAAAAAAAAAAAAAAAAAAAAAAAAAATTAAATAACACTACGAAATATTAGCAAACCTCCAAAACAAATTGCAGATAAATAAAAACACTATTCTATCAATACTTAGCCATGGTAGCAACCTTTTGAGACAAATCTCTCCATGTGAGAACTGCTGACATCTCCAGCCATCAACGACTCCAGAAATTTGTTCTCGGCTTCTGTTGACGTTCCGCGGGAAAGCCTATGCTCATTTCCAAGCAAATCACCCCCAGTAGGAACAGGAAGGGGCTTCCCAAATCCACTTAAACCAGGAATGCTAGATACATCGGCTACCTCATTCTGCTTTGCTGTATTAAACCCAGGTGGTGGCCTTGCCTTAGCTCGTAAGTGGGGCATCACGTCACCAAGTAAGAAGAATGCAGAGTCAATTGGAGCATTTACTGGCCGAACTCGTAAGTCTATGCCAAAATACCCAGCCTCAAACCACCCAATTATATCACTACCTGAAAAGGGACCCTGAACTTGACCTTGTGGATCTTTATAATAAAGGAGCATGTCCTCCGGAGAAGGTTGTAAGAGTTTCCTTGTTTCTTGCTCCCGATCAGCTGTCACAGCAGGATGTTTTCTGACAGCAGAATCTTCACCAACTTGCCATTTGAGTTCATTTTGAGCATAAGATGAATCAGGTAAAACATTAGAGCTATCTTTTGGTGCTTGTGTCCAGCTAATGTCAGAGCTTCTAGAGCGAACACCACTTGGACTATTAAACCAATCACGTGAGTGAGCATTTGCATGCTCTTCCAGCGACGGTGATCTCCAGGGAGTTCCCGACTGAGTATAAACACGTCCCTTAATGCCAGAATCTTTGTTATCAGTGACTTCATCGCCCTTCTTTAAAGAAGAATCGTCATCTCTTGCAGCTGCTTTCAAGCAAAGAAATATACATCTAGATGATGAGCTAGCGACAAACAAAATAAAAGACACATAAAGTCATAAATGCAGCTCAATTCACACAAGCTAAGAGCACATTATCAAATAGCACACACCATTAGTCAGAATCATACACCAAAGATTTTTTTACTTTTATTTTTTTTCATCCTTCAACATTCCCTATTATGACTTCAAAACAAATGAAAGAGAATCAAGTTGCCAAAAAGGATGCAAATAGAATAATGCAACTCCATTGTAGCTGTCACTAGACTCTATCCACCCATAAGCAATACCATAAAAATCAAAGCAAGCATTCCTCCTATCACCCCTCACATAATCCAAGTTTTACTGGCACCAAGAAGTAGATCTCTGACTTAATGATGAAATCGAACCCATCCATAAACCACTTAACTGACAAAAATGAAGCAGAGTTTTCTATGATCTAAATTACATATAAAAATTCTCAGACTTATTTTTGTACAAAGTGAAGAAACCTCAATTCAAGATTCCAGTTTAAATAACGGGTAAAACCATGCTTCATTTTCTCTATCATAACATGTCCCATTAACACACATTAGTAAGAAGAATAGCTAACGACTTGAACAATGGTAAGAGGAAAATGTTGGGTTATCGGTGATGTGATATCAGTTCAAGTGTCCATTTACCTTCTATAATCTCTCCAAGTCTCCAGTAAAAAGTGAGCCAAGCGAGTGTTAAAATAAAAATTATGAAGAAGAATGTAAAACTGTTCCAGTGTTTACTTTTTAACTATCAAACGATTTAGATATGGTTCATTAATTGACAATACATAAACTAATATCTGTCAAACTTATTTCACGCACAACAGTAATACTGATCTAATCAAGACTAAATCCAAATTAAGTTAAAAGATTGATAACAAAATTTTCAACTAAATGAGGACAAAAAAATTAGTGCATTACCCTGTAAATTTAATCAACAAGCTTTAGTCATCATACCCTATGTGGAAATTAGAAACATCTATAAACAAGCTAAGAAAATATTGCAAAAGGTAATTCCTGGAACTCTATATTTATTCTCAGCATACATCTGATGACTTTCACTTCCATCCATCGTGACATTTGAGCCATATGTACCTTTATCATGGGCTTCATCGGGAGGTAGAGATACATCATCTCTGCTGCCTGTCAAAAAGACAAAAATTATATTTGAGTAACTGCATTAGAAAAGAGTCTATCATAAACTACTAATGAAAGGAATGTAAAACGACATTGTTACAATGAAACAACACACACAATTGGTACCATGTTTTATTCGCCTTGATTGAGCAAAATCATTTGAGCTTCGTCCAGCAGATCCATCCTTAGAATTCTGGGGTGCACCACTGCTTACTATTTCCCCCCTGTCAATTCCCTTCATAATAACCTAAGTAGTATAACCAAACATGAGAACGATAACACTGAAAGTCACACCATAATAGCATATATTTAACTTACTGATTCTTCTGAAGTAGGTGCACACAGCGCCAGAGGCTCCAATGGTTCTTCCTGAGTAAGAGAGGAAACTTGCTTCAATCCATCCAATATCTTATTCGAAGATTTTATCTCGGTCAGCCGATAAATATCAAGCAACTTTGTCCTATTATAGCTGAAAGGAGAAGGTTCTTCATGACCATTATCACCTCTGTCAGAATTAAAAAGTGAGGAATGAGAATGAACAGAATAGTTACTGATGCTCCCAGCACCAAAAGTAGCCCTTCCACGACCAACAGAAAAAGTTGCATTATCCCCACGACCTCTCCCATGGCCAAATGTAGGACCTTCTTTGCTAGTCATTTGAGGCTGGTGATGTGGTGGTTCTGCTTTTGCACGATTTTGCAAAGAGCTAGGCCTCCATGGCCGATGATGATCACCATCCCTCTCATCCTTTCCATGACTAGCAGCTGTAAGTGACTGCCCTTTATCTTGAGGCATGTCACCATGTTTCCCAGCATCAGTCCACTTATCCACCTCTTTATCATCGGGACCCCAGCGTGTGTTCCACTTACTCTCACGACGCTGATCATAGTTATTCTCCCTACTAGGATCAGCCCATCTGTCAGCTGGAGCTCGACGTGCTTCTCCAAAGTTCTTACTGGACGGGTTATCAACCCACCGGTCAGTCTTCCGACCGTCACCAATCTCTTTCTCTCCCTCCCTCCAACGGTCTCTACGACCTAATGGGTTAGTGTCCCTTTCTTCATCACGCCAACGATCACGACGCCCAGATTCTTGATCAAGAAAAGTTGGTCTGAAAACATCCTTTTTCTTCTGGCTATCATGCATCTCCTCACCATGTCCTGGAGGCTTGATGACATCTGAGCCATCACCGTATCCAGGATAAGGACTTGGGCGATTTCCCTGTACATATATAAAAATCATCATGCAAGATACAAAACACGGTTAATTTTAAGTTCATTAAATAGAAAATCAATTGCATAACATCTACCCATAAACAGTAGAGATAATTATACAAACCCCTTGTGACATCCCAGTCTTAGTCTCCCCTGGCTTAGGGAGGAGCCATTGAGGTGAAAGCGGAATCGGATTGTCTGGCCCAGGGAAATCTGCAAAATGAATAAATAAATTTAAAAAAAGGTAAAAAGTAAAATTATAGACAATCTTATTACTAAAAAGCAGTTTTATTCTTTAAGATCTACCATTCTCCACCAGAGGCAGAAAATTGTTTAAGATGAGCAGTTTCTAACATGTTGACTACATATTCTAGTCTAGCAATTTAAAATGTGAGAAGGTATTGCATTCAACAAAAGCTCATTATACCATGCGAAAGACGTACACTACAACAGAGTATCTAGCCTCCTCAACCTCAGCTCATGCATAAATAAAATTGCACATCCTATGGCTTCATGGCAAAAGTGGAGCCTAACCTTAATATATTGGATATGTCTATGCACCATAAGCACATAGAAAAGAAGCAAAGATAATACCAACAAAAGGAGAGCAAGAGAGAGAAAGATCAAAACTTTGGTTTGGGTACTCATTTGGTGCGTTTGCTTAAGTCAACTATAGTAGCTTTTAATTAAAAAAAAATTATTACTTAAGGAGAACTGAGACTCATTTCATATGAAGATACGGATACTGACAGTTCGTTACATAATGTTGGCGTCTTTACTAATTTTACACCATTTGTAAGTTAGGTATAATTTAAGATTTTTCTGCTTATTCTAACAATAAATTTGCTGAATTATTGTGATAATGGCATAAATTACGAGCCTCAAGGGATCCCACTTTCCTTCCATTTAGCCCATATGTAGTAAAGTTTATTGACACCTATAACAACAAAAAAATCAACCAGACAACCACTTTAATTGAATACATTGAGGTTTTTAGTTCTCCAAATAACATTTACATTCTAGTGTTGTGCACAGGAACCTCCAAAAATACTCTTTCAAATCCAGTACTTAAATGTTGAGCTAGAGATTACTGTGTATGATCCCAAATGCAATAACTTTTATTTTATTTTTTTAAAAAAAAAATCACAAAATCTCAAGCTTACCACTAACACCATCCATAATAGTGTACAAACATAAAAAAGTGAAGCACTCAAGCTACACAGTTCAAATAAAAAAAATCTAAATGCGGGTAACACTAAAAATTTCCAAACATACTATCGATTTCTTCCTCACCCATCAACATCACTCGCCCTCACCATCAAACGCCAACCTTGCACCTTTTACCATAACATTACCGCCCTTTTTCCATCTCCTCCGCCATCACTTCTAACACTCTCTCACTTTCCCTACTACCACCCTAATACAAAATCACTATTAATATAAACACTTTTCCTATCCTTTTAACCATTGTGTACATAAAAACAAAACAATAATTACTATTTCCGACTCCACTCAACACCCTTCCTATCATTTTAAACATTGTGTACATATAAACAAAACAATAATCACCATTTCACACTCCACTAAATCTTTTCAAAACATTCGTAAATCCATGTTTTCAGCTAGCACATATCCAATGGTTTAAAAGGAAGTAACAAGTTTACAAAAACCCTGTCACAATCCTATGATTTAATATGAAGTTGCAAACATACCTAGACCCCATTTCCAGGAAGATGAAAATTACATTCTTATACTCGTCGACATTGTTGTTTTAGTACAATAAGCAAGCGGTCACTTGCCTCATTTTAATCAAATTTATAATCCTCAACCTCATATATTACTCTTATAAAAAAACGGCTAAACATATCCCACTTTCACAGAAAAAAGCAATTAGGGGAAAATACATCAACTCAGAAGTTAAACCCCAGAAATTTTATAATGCAAAAACACTCAGAAAAATGAGACAAAAACTAACGAGGTCAACATCCAAAAACCCTGACTATATAAGAAAGTTTTATACTACAAAATCAATGGCGGCAGAATCAAATCCTTGTCTTGCTACAAAGTTTAAAACTTTGTATTAATTTAAAGAGAATGGCAGAAAGTTTTCGCATTTAAACAAATAAGTTATTATTGAAACCGAATTTCTAAAAAATCCAATAACAAAATATTTTAAAAAAAAAAACCTAATTGAAAAAAAAAAAGCCCAAAAATGTTCAAATGAAAATTAGGGTTTTACTAATCTACATATAAAAACAAACGAAAATACAAAAAAGGAACCCCATTAGTACCAATTAAACTCCATTAAAGTAGTAAAATAGACGAAGAATGGTGAAAACCCTAGAAACTCGAAATGGGGAAAAGAAGAGAGAGAGAAAAATAGGAGTGAAGAAATAGAGAAGGAAATACCTTTGGCGATCTGGTTGGGAGGAGTAACAGTGATGGGATTGCGAGAGTCGGAGGAAGCCATTGATGATCGAAAATGGAGGAAAATGAAGAGGAGAGAGAAAGGGTTACACAGAAGAGAGGAGAGTCGAAGTGGAGGAGGAAGGCGCAAAATAAATAAAAACCCTTAAAAGAGAGTGAATGAGTGATAACAGGAAGGAAGGAAGGAAGCAAGCAAAGCAAAAGTAGTTCGAGCGGAAGGAATATCAAGATTGGGCAGACAAGGGTTAGTTTTTCAAATATACCCCCCATTACACTTTTTTTTTTTTTTTTTGGATAATGTATAAAATTATTTTAATTAGTGTATATTAATTGAGGAAAAAAAAAATAATTAATAATTCTGTCTAATTTATTTTGAATAATCCTAACTTCTGATTATTATGCAATAATCTCAACCTCTGATTATATTGTAATAATCCCAATTTTAATTACACTTTTTTTAAAAAAAAAAATTTGAAAAATAGTTTATTGAAGTAATATCTTAGAGAAGGTCACCATTTATCTCCTACATTAAATTGAGCATAATATCTCAAGGAAGGGGACAAAATAATCATATAAATTTTTGAAAAATGAATAAAATATTGGTTACCCTTAAAAAGTTTAATGAAAAGGCACTAATTGTGGACCCTTTTACGTGAAGTAGCGGTTCTTAGTTTTTGTTTGATGAAACTAACCATGGTTAGAAGCTTGTCGGTATTTCCTAGCTCCTTTTACTTTACATTTTTGTAGTTTTCGTCTCATGAGACGTCATTTTTTTCTTGGTTTAAATCGCAATGCAAAATCAACAACCAAAGAGTAATTGCAAACGGGTATGGCAATATGTAGTCGATTCTGGTGATCGATACTTGGTGATCGGTGTTTCCCAACGAAAGGGAGATTTTTTTGAGCTGGGTAGCTGTTACGTATAAGCAAAAATTTTGTCGATTTGCTTCGATTAAAAAAAAAAAAAAACAACCAAGACTCGTTACGAGTAGATGAACACCAAATTACCCCCGTTGCAAAGATAACAAAATCATCTGGGACTATCAATTGAATTCAAATACAATAGCATACAATAGCAAGTAAAGGAATTTCCATTACCAAGATAATTGTTATGCTCAATTGAATTCAAATCAAAATACATAATCGAAACTACAAATTTTCATTAAGTAAAAACCCTAGTCGCCAATAACAACTAACCTCATTCCAAATATAGACAATCGGAATTTGATGTAGACATTCTTACCCGTTCCAAAACTAGAGGGCAATCTTCTTCTTCATCTGTAAGCGCGTAAGTCCTTATTCGTCATACTTTCAGGTTCTTCTTGTTCGACGTTGGTAAATTTGCTCGTGTTTTGATTCAATTCGTCTTATTCGCCTATAGTTAGTCTTCTTCGTGATTAGGGTTCTTCATGTTCTTCTTTCTCTCTCCTCCCGATTTCATCCCAATTTACAATTTTATTAATTTTGACTTTCTTTCTCCTAGATACTTTTTCATAATTTTTTTTTACTTTCTCTCTCTTGGTAGCAAACCCATGGTTAAATTCTGTCACCCAACGTCCGTCAACTATAATTTGCCTTAAAATTACAGGAACAACCATGCTCCTTTAATTTTGTGGGAATGACGAAAATAGGGCTTGATAAACTTCTCAAGTTTACCCAGGAGATAAATTTGAATTTTCTCATTATTTTATTGATTTTTTTATAGTTTAATTTGAATTTGTTGACCTTTTTTTTCTATAGGATGACATTCTCAAGTTTTTAAGATCCCTATTTTGCAATTTCTCTATTGCCTTGGATGTTAAGGAATTTTAAAGCCAAATTACGAAAACAAAATTTACTACGTAGTATTTTATATTCCCTCCGTTCCTTTTTGTTCTACTCATTTGGAATTTTAACATTATTCATAACGTGAAAATCTTCAACTCTCAATATATAAGACATAACATATTCATGTAGGGTCTTATTTTTTTATTCTTCTTAATGAATAGTTTATTAATATTCAATTGTTATACAACCTCCGTTTTTTAGTTGAAGTTTCGACTTTATCACTATTCATACATGCAATGCTCTTTGATCGTATTTTGTGATTTCATACGTAATGAAAATATCAACTTTTCATAATTATATATATATATACGAGGAGGTTCCGCTGAAAACAGGGCTAGAAAATCTCAACCATCCATTATTACTAACAAGATCTAACGGTTTAAAAAAAAATAATGTAGAGTCACTATATATATAAAAATAACGTAACTGTATACAAAAATAGGGTAACTATATCAATTTTTACAACATTTGTCACTATATACAAAAATAGGGTAACTATATCAATTTTGATCCTATTCATAGAAGTCACTACATACAAAAGTAGGGTAATAATATCAATTTTGACCACATTTACATAAAGGTCGCTATATACAAAGATAAGATAACTATATTAATTATAGCTTGCAATGTTGCTGAAAATCCAGCAAGGTTGATATATACAAAAATAAGGTGACTGAAACAAAATTTACAACATTTCCATGATACTAAGGTCATTATATACGAAAATAAGATAACTATATATTAACTTCGGGTAATTATATCAATTTGACACCATTTACCCGGAGGTCACTATCTATAAAAATAAGGTAACAACATCAATTTAACATTTACACAGAGGTCAGATTAATATAATAATTTTGGCTAAATTTTAAAAAGATCACTACATGTAAGTCTATGTAGGATTCGAACCCACATCATGTGCACAATGCAAGTACACAATGCTCGACCAATTGAGCTAATAGACTTTCGGCACACAAAAACAATAAAGCTAATAACTCATATTATTGCACAAAATTAAGAGTCACTATAACAAAATTAATAAATGCTAAGCTTTGCTTTGTAGCCAAAAAAAAAAAAAAAAAAAAACTATAACAAAGTAACTCGTTAAAATAGGTAACTAAATCAGTAAAAAAAAATCTATAGGTATAGAACAGAGAATCAAATGTCTAGCGCGAAAGTAAATCAATTCGATAATAAAGAGTATAATCAATTGCAATATTACCATTAGTTAGACAAAATCAATACACAATAATAAATTAAACAATATTCCTCAAAAGCAACCAAGAAGCTATAATCCATAGCTTAAGCAACCAAGTTAGCTTCTCTATAAACATAAACAAAATCAATACTATAAAAAAAAACAAGAAATACTCATAATTTCTCTAGCAACTACACCCACAAACGATCCATCTCTCTTCTTTCCTTTTAAAATGTTGACCAAGTTAAGGCAATCACTCTCAACAATGACATTCTTTGCTTCACATTACACAGCCATTTTCAAGCCAAAAGCCACTGCTGCTTCGACAACATCCGCTTTCCATTTTCTACTAACCTTCTGACACACTGACCGCACTACCTCCCCATTGTGATCTCTTAGAACAACACCCATTCCTACCCCTGCATCACCATATACGGCACCATCAGTATTTATTTTCACTATACAATACATTGGACGTCGCCACCGGATATCTTTCCTTCTAACACGCTGCTCACTTCTATGCCTTATCCCACATTCTGCTGCCTCACCGTACCGAACACCTTCAAGACTGCAGCGGCAACAGTAGCCACTTTTGTAGGGCACTTAGGACATGCCCTGTTAGCTACAACATTCCTCTCATTCCATACTTCCCAAGCTACAATCAATCTTTCGTTCCTCTCCTTATCCCCCAAAATTACTCATAAAACCCAATTGATCCCACACTTCTTGTTCAAAATCACAGCCCCATATGGCGTGTAACTCCATCTCCTCTAACTCTCTAAGCCTCTATATTTTGATATAACCATTCTTAGTTGTTTTACAAAATTAAAAAACATCAAACTAAATACATTGATAATGATGATTAAATTCCACTAATTTTTAGAAATTGGAATCACACACAAGCACATTCAAATTCAACTAAAGAATAACCGATATGCATCTAGATTACAAATACGCTAAACCCCCAAATTTAATTAGATAAAATTAACACAAATTAAAACTATTATAATAGACAAAGACACAATTTAATTAGATAAAATTCAGCAAACAACTCACAATCCTCGGCTGCTTCCAGTTCCGGCCGGAAACTCTGCCGGCGATAACTCCGTCGTAAATCGGTCGACCAAAAATTGGCTTGTTTGGATTTTCAGTGGATGAAACTGGAGTACAAAAATATTGGAAATTCGGAAAACATCGAACAAAATTGCAGTTGAAAATTCGAACCATAAATTGAAAAAAAAAATCACTAAAAAAATCGCAGAATTCGAGCCCTAAAATAGCAGAAAATAAAATGTTAATGCAATTTCGAACATAAAACAAATATCAAACATAATTGATGCAATTTCGTAACAAATTCCTTAAAAATTCGAAAAAATAAATTAACAAAACCGCTGAAATTAAAATGATACAGGTAGCGAAATCAAAATCGATTTTGTTTGGGGGTTTTTTATGTGTCCTACGGGAGAGTTACAATTTCCTAGTATGCTCCTTCCTTCGCCTGTACCTGCACAAATAACGGAGACTCCGACTGGGGGGTGGGAGTTCCGCCTCCGAAGATTAAGTTAGAATCTTTCTTAAAAGAGGTATAAAGAGAAATAAATGCTTCTCGATTGGAGAGCGTTTTGCAATGGGTTTTGTGTTTTGTCGGGTGTTGGAAATGTTGATCATCCCCATAAATGAGGTCTGCCCCTACTATTTATAGTAGGGGAGAGCTGTACCTTAATTAGGGTACAATGACATGTGTCGCAAAGGGATTGGGCCTTTGCTGACCGTTGCAAGTTTGACACGTGGCAAGCCTTCATAGGGCCACGTGTCTAAGGGTTTTTTTACCCTAAAAATTTGCCCCTCACAGGTGTGACGTGGCATAGCCACGTGTTACCTGTGACAGGCGTCGAAAGGATGGGAAGTGACGGTTCGCCTGCTTCCCTCCTTTTTTTTTTGAGTTTTTCAATTTTTAGGGCAGAAGGTGTTGATTCGCCTTCTTCCCCTCTCCTATAAATAGGAGACATCACCTCTCTCCTCCACACTTTACAAAATTTTCAAAAAATTTCCTAAGAGAGCTCTGATACCGGCTGCTCAAGATTCTCAAGATTTCTTGCATCCGGCGTTTTTAGATCAATCCCATCCGACTACCGGTTGAGTATACCTTGCTCAATTTCAACAAGGTACCGGCTGCCTTTTCATTTTTTTTTTAAACTTCTGATTTTAAAGACTGAATGATTTCCCCATCCGAGTGGCCAACCGCCTGGGGGATTTTTAACCATTTCCCAATACTGAATT